CCTGCCAGGACAGGCCTCCCGTGGGCTCGAGCATCCACGGGGCACCCACTCCGCCCTGTCCCTGATGCCGGAACCTGCGCAGGGAGGCTCCTCTGCTTAAAATGCCCTTAAAAACAGACGAGGGTGAAAGTTTCTGTTGCTGGCACTGCCTTCATTGAACCTATATATTTCCCGAGCTCAGGACCTGCCAGGAGCAGGGGTGATGGGGTGAGAGGCTGCCAGGCTCTCAGAGGCCAGAGAAAAGTGGCACTTACAGAGCAGCCTTCGTGCCCGGGCACACGCCTTCTGCCATTCGCCCCTTAACACAGCCCCTCGGCCCAGCAGAAAGGTTCAGAGGTGCCCGCCCGCCTGCATGTGCTTCCCACTGACCCGCCCACCCGGGGCTGCAGCTCTAGCAGAAGCCAGAGACCTAAGTAAGGACCCCGGGCTGAGACGGAGGGAAGGGCAAGGGGGGGCATGGAGGCCTGGCAGACAAGGGTGCCCCTGCGCCCTCCCCAGCTGCCCTGGGCTATGCCTGGAAGGTCAGACTGGCACTAATTGTGCCTAAATGGCACCATCCCCGTGGCTTTCTGTGCCTTCCTGGGGTGGGGAGGAAGCACGGGGTTTCCTTGTCTCCACCCTCTGCTGCCCGTGCCCTCTCTGCTCTCCCAGCGGGGTCTCCTCTGTGAAGCAGAGACAACGTGACAGGGCTGCGATGAGTATTCAGTGGGATGGTGCTTGCAGAGGGCTCGGCACCCAGAGAGGCCTGGCCAACCCTCCTGGCAGGAGCCTGGGGCCGTGCAGACGTGCAGCTTCACCTCTGTGAGAACCTTGCACCCCCAAATGAGGCTTCTGCCCATGACCCACTCCCAACTGCACGTGGGCTCAAAGGAAGGGCTGCAGGACCGACACCGACCTCCTGTGCCTGCTCCCAGCTCTGGCCTCGCCGTCACTCAGTGACACCGCGGGCCCCGAGTCCTGGTCGCAGACACGATTTTTGCCTAAAGAACCACATTCTGGTAGAGCCATAAGCCGGGCGCAGTGTCACACTCCCAGAGCCTCGACGTCACTTTCTCATTCTCTCCCTTTGACTAACCAGCATGAATCTCTCACTCTGGCCCCGGTCACGTGGGCCTGAACGTTGATCTCCCACCTTCTACCTGCGGCACCTGAACGGTTAGCACTGCACTCCCCACAAACGCACAGGGAGGGGCAGTCAGCAGTAACGGGGAGGCAGGAAGGAGTGAGAAGAAACCCCCAGAGAACACGCTGCCAAGAGTGAGGTACAGGGGCCGGGGGTCAGGAGGAGGCCAGTCTGAAGGGTAAATGTCTGTCTAGTGACAGCCTGACAAGTGCCCTCAGAGTGATCCGGAGCCATAACCCTGGCAATGCCCACCTACCGCCCTTCAGATGAAACAAGGACCCCGACCACAGGCAGAGCCCAGCCAGGGGCCCGGCTACATAACGCCCAGTGGCCACTGGTCTGGTCTCAGGTGCCATCACATTCAATGAAACACCAGCTGAACGGCCTAAATGTCTTTGACATGAAATTTAAATACGAAGCAAAACCTTGTTGGGAACAAAAGGCACTCACAGTGTGCGTCTTCGTATCTTCGTTTCTCTCCAGCTCAGCGGCTGCTGCAAAGGAGTCTCTCTTCCTTGGCTTGAAAATTCCCCTAAGTTCTCCCCAAACTAACCCTCACCGACCCTGTCTTCTCTCAGCTCGTGCACAGGCACAGGCCATCAGATCGACACACGTCACTCGTCCGGTGCTCGAGAAGCAGCTCACGCTCACGAGGGAATTTCTGCCCTTTTCGTCTTTACTCAGAGCTCACAGAGGCCCCGGACCCAGGAGGGAGCCCGGGGAGCACCTCAGGGGGCTGCTTCCTGGCACCAGGAAAACCAGCACGCGGGCCAACCTCTCAGGATGCTCAGACAGACACCTGTGCTCCCCCTCGGGCAGACTGAGGTCACTGAGTTTTGAACATTGTTGCTGAGGGAACGGGGAAGGTACCATGTCACTTACATCCCCGTGGTTTGTCACTTGGCACAGAGTGACTTTCAGACGGCCTTACCGTGTGGCTAGAGGTTTGGGTTTCTTCCTGTTTTGTTTGTTTGGTTGTTTGGTTCTTCCTCTGGAAGCCACTCGAACAGAAGGCCTTGGTTTTGTTCTGCAAAAATCACCCTCCCCGCCCCCCGCAAATATAAGGAATGTGAATACAAACACAAGCAGGTATTAGAATTAGATGCTGCTGGAGTGTAAATCCCAACACAAAAGCGCCTTTGTCTCCCAAACCGGCACGTCTTTAAGCTGCCCTGTGATGTTCGCACTGCAGGGAGGGAAGTTAAAATGATGCTTTTCAACAAATGTTTACTTGAGCTTGTAAAAGAAATGGATACAGAAGGTGTGCTCCGTGGGGTGGGGTGGGGGGAGCTTAATCTCATAATAAATAAAGCAACTGCACTGAGTATGACAAATGCCTTTTATTTGGGAGGTTTAGCATTATTAAAGCTGGTTTTAAACCAAAAACAACAGCTTGTAATGTCCGAGCTGTAATGTCCAATGGCTGACCTTGACTAAGTAATTAGGATGATAATGTTTTAGACCATAAATACAGCTTCTCTGACATCCCCTCTCCCAGGCCATTCTTCCTTCTCCTACCGTTACTATGCAATTCAAACATCAACACTATTAAACATGTAAAGATCAACACAGAGCAGGGAATCAAACCCGCCACCTTCCCGTGTACAGACGGTGCTCCAACCTACTGAGCCACCCAGCCAGGGCTGTGGCGTGTCTTCTATTGTTGCATCTGAACTTGGTTCTTCTCCCTTTTCCTCTTTTTCTGTCTTCTCTAGGCTTAAGATTCCATTCTGTCTCCTTTATTGCCTTATTTTACATTATTTTGTGTTTTGTTATTTTCATGGTTGCTATGGAGTTCACATCATACATTTGCTAAGACATATAATACAGATATACTGTATATATCGTATATGATGGATAGATATATGATATGTTATATATCAATTTAGGATACAGACATGTCCTATACCTACATCTTATACACCTTCTTCTCGGCCCATCTCAAGGGCTATCATATACCATTTCCTGAAGCGTTAGGGACCCTACAATGCTATTTTACGCTGTTGCCATACAGTCCACTTCGACACGTGACATAAAACCCACACTACATTGTGATAATTTTTCTTTAAACAGTCAATTATCCTGGAAAAAGATTTAAATAGTGAGAAGAAATACTAAATACCTACCCATTGGCCAGTACTTTCCTAGGTGCTAGGAATATACCCCTGAACAAAGCCTGTCCTTACAGAGCTTGTATTCCAGTGCTAGCTGAGAAATACCTTTCACACAGCACAATACAGGGGTGCCAGGAGTTTTAATTTTGTTGGGAAGAGAGAGAAAGAGAGAAAGAGAGAGAGAGAGGGAGAGAGAGAGAGAGGGAGAGAGAGAGAGAGCTCTCACTAGCAAACCCATAACTAAGCTAAGCGAAGCGAGGGGCTGATTCTCACAGTGCTTCGCCTGCGGAGCGACAGCGTCGGCCTAAGTCCCTCGGCGAGTCCCCCGTGAGCCTTTTGCAGAAAGCCCGCCGCCGGGAGGGCTTTGCCGAGGAAAGGCTGGAGCAGGCTCTCGGGGCTGAAGTCACTGTTCTGCAGAAACAACGCTGCTCGTTTGTCTGTGGGCCCATGAGACAAATATTATTGGAGGCACCAGAGAGTTCCCTTCCATTCACAGAAAGACCCGTGAGGCAGGCCGGCTCCCCAGCCTACCTGTGCCGCTGATTAGGTTACAACATCATCATTGTGAATCTAAGCGCTGTTGGAGAAGGTCCCCGATAGGGGTGACCCCTGGTTGACCCCTGGGCTGGCCCTGGGCAACCAGAGGCTTCTCACCCCCTCCCCACACTTGGAATGCATGTTCTGCCCACCATTCCCACCACAGGAGCCAGGTTCACGGTGGCAGCCCCGAGAGAGCGCTGTGCTGTGGAGACCATCTGGATGGAACCCGTGACTGAACCCACTTGGCACCTCTATTAACCTTCGAGACTCTGGCGGGTGGGGGTTAAGATCTAGTCGCTTCGCAGACCCAAGGTAAGCCTCGTGTGCAGGTTCCCTTGCTTATTAAATCACTCACCTACCAACGGTCCTGCCCCCCGCCCCCCATTCAAAGTCATACACTCCTACCTGTTCTTCTGCGGTTCATGGAGACATCTGCCCCCTTTTCCTTCGTTCTCACAACTGCTGTTCTAACCCAGGTCTCAGCGACTCTCACTCGGTCCTGCTGCCGCCTCCCAAGCATCGCCCCAGCACACGCGAGGGGCACGGCTTGTTAAGTCACGGCTATGGGTCTCTGATCTTCAGAAACACCTTGTAAAGGGGGATTAGCAGAGACGAGCAGCATTTTAATGGCTCCCTCTGTGTCCCTACCTGAGGCTACTGGGCATTGTAGCAAACGTTATACGCTGCTATCCCTTCCTTTAAACTGATTACTGCCTTATATATTTTTTTTTTACTAGGTCTTGGATTTCTTTAGTCATCACTCCATTGGATTCAATCCCAGCAAAACGAATTCTAGCTGCATCCTGGCAAAGGAACCACCACCCTCCCCTCCCCCCCA